AGACGCAAGGAAAGAATGCTCCCCTGGAGCCTCCGGAGGGAAGAGGCCACCACCAGCACTTCAGTTTTAGAATTTTAGCTTCCAGAACTGTGAGAGAATCAAGTTCTGTTGCTTCAAGCCACTGTTTATTGGTGATTTGCTGTGGCAGCCTTCAGCAAACTAATGCAATCATTATTAAACCGCAGGAGAAAAGAACATCTCAAGTTTGGAGGCAAGTTGATCTTGAGCCAATAGAGAGATCAGGTTCCAGAGTCGTGCCCCCTGAAAGCAGCCCTCTTTAGCTTCCTCCCAAACAACCCTCCTTTTATGGTCACCAACTCGGACATTCTTTCTTGGCCATGTCTGAGTGGTAAACAACTTGCCTACAGTGCAGGAGACCTGGGTTCGATCCCTGGGTTGGGAAGATCCCCAGGAGAAGGAAATGGCAACCCACTATAGTATTCTTGCCTGAAGAATTCCATGGGCAGAGGAGCCTGGAAGGCTACAGTCCATGGGGTTGTTGAAGAGTCAGACACAATTTAGTGACCAAACAACAGCTACCAGTCTGAAACTGAAACCCAAAGCAGCTCAACAGAAGAAAGTAAAGACTCAACTTGCCATGTTCCAATTTTTCTTGGTTTGGGCAGAGACAGATTAAGTACTAACTGATCCATTCCAGACTTTGAAAAGGAAGTTTATAAATGCTTCTTTTTTTTTCTTCCAAAACTCAGGTGATGGCAGATAGAGAGTCACATATCTACTTCCATCTGAGCATAACTGATCCAGTGAGAGCCTTGCTGGAGAGAGGATGGCATTTTCCCAGACAGTATTTGGTCTCTCCCCTGGTGAAGAATTATCATGCCATCTGGAACAAGGCAATATATTCCTTTCACAGAAGTTGTGGAGCTAATTATCAACCAATTCCAACATAGACTGGCTTAGAAAAATACAAAGACCATCTCTGTATTCCAAGTCACTGCTCTCTGAGCAGCCAATTTTGACTTAATGAAACGATTCCTATTTTATACTTAAATAGTGCTTACAGTTCAAAAAGAGCTGCCAAATGTAGAATCTCGACTGTTTTATGTTGTTTCTCACAACAGAACTATGAGATTGAAATGGGCCAGGAATGACAGTTTACATTTTCTAAAAGAAGAAAAGCAAATTTGTAAGAGGAGATGTGACTTGTCCAAGCTCCAGACTTCACATTCACTGGAGTCTTCCACACCAGCACCTCCTGAGGATCAACCCATTTGAGCTATGTGAGTAAAATATGAGCCTGTTTATCTTCAGGTGCTCTCTCTTGTTGGGAAGTGAGGTATTCTTGTACTGGAAAGAAATCTTATGTGTGCACATGTGCAAAGGGGCATAAATACATATGAAGGCTGATATTTCTGATCATTCAAGCACCCATCATCCTCTGACTCAAATATGTATTAGTTCTTTGCTCGTGGGGGCTTCCCTGGTGGCTCAGATGGTAAAGAATCCATCTACAATGCAGGAGATCCATGTTGGATCCCTAGGTGAGGAAGATCCCCTGAAGAAGGGACTGGCTACCCATTCCAGCATTCTTGCCTGGAGAATTCCATGGACAGAGGAGCCTGGCAAGCTACAGTCCATGGGGTCTCAAAGAACTGGACATGACTGAGTGACAAACACTTTCACTTTCTTTTGCTCTTGGTGTGCAATAAGATTTGTTTTAAAACAGTTATCCCAACTTGAGCTCTATTTTGGGTTAAGTGTGGATTTACCCTCTACCATCAACAATCTTTTCTTCTGTCAGTGTATCTTCTACAACTGAGGAGGATCATCAGAGAGTTCCTAGTATTTAAGAACTACCTGTCTAAGTGCATAGCTCTCAAATGATGGATGCCAACAGTTCTTTGGCAAGTTATTAATAGGTCAAGTTTTCAGATGGTCATTCTCCAGAGTGCTATAAAAAGAAAATTAAAAGCGAGATCAATTGTGCTTTTTAAAAATGCTGAGAAAAATCCTGCATTTTTTATGACTTCAGAAACCAAGAAAATTCTTTTCTAAAGATAATTCCCATTTCTTTTCCATAGTCATAGGAGAAACGAGTAATGTGAATTAAACACAAGAGATCTGAATTTATGTATTCAAATGTATTTATTCACCATGTATTCATAGAGGCCCCACTGTGTACCAAGCATATGCTGGATCTAAGCAGTGAGCAAAACAAAGTCTCTAGTCATAACAAGCATATCTTCCACTGGGCAAAGTCAGACAATGAACATGTATCAGTTTAGTCTCTAATTTCAGCAAAACATACTCAGAGAGGCAAGGTTGACACCCCGCCCCCCTCACTACTGCCCTCAGTCAGCTCTGAACTGGAAGAGTACAAAGGGTTATAAACACAGACACCAAAAAAGCAATCGTTCAGAGACACAGGAGAATGCTGCCCTTGCATAGGAATGTTTAAGAATGAAGACTCCTCATAAGGATGGGCCTCTGGGAGGCAGTGTGTGTTTGCCAAGGCCCCCTCCTGGTGCCTGGGGGGGCTTCTTCCACTTTTTCACACCTGTTCTGCTGTCATATTCATACACATTCCCAGAAACTGTGGGGAGAATGACTGCAAACAGATAAAGTGAATGATAATGAACTCGCAAAGCATTTATTCATCCCACAAAGTCTTTACTGAGCTTTTGCTCTATAGCCAACCTAGTGATGAGTTTCTGATCTTCTCAAGTTTTGCTTTGTTACCAAAAGGAGAATTAGAAGGAAAATGTGGCACAGCATGTGATTCCATATGCATTAAAACATTGCCTCTTTTGTGCAAGAGAGCACTTTTATGGTGAAGGAACAATTCTTTATCTTGACTATGGTCATAGTTAGTTAAATCTATATTGGTGATTAAGTGTCATAGAACTATACACATAGACATGTAAAAAATAGCTAGTGTTTCATGAATTTGAGTTGGGAAAGATGAAAAAAAAATCTGGATATGGATAGTGGTGCTGATTGCACCACAGTGTGAATGTACTTAATACCATAGAAATGTACACTTAAAATAGAAAATTTTATATATATTTAATGGAATAAAAAATAGGTAGCTTAATAATTACAAAGTTCTTAAGAACAAGCCTGATACACTGAAAGTGCTAAAACAGGTATTTGTTAAATAATATTAATACTATTTTAAAAGATTTTAGATGGAAAGAAGAAATGGCATATAGTAATTTTTCATTATTTTTAGTGATAATAATAAAAGGAACAGAAGAAGAGCCCAGAGGTCTGTTGCAGACCACTCTGCCATTCTTGCACCTAGAGGTCTGGTACACAAGCCTCCACCTGCCGTGGACACGGACAGTCTTTCCACTGTTCTTGTAGCCAAGTACCCACCTGTCTCCATCCATCTGCCTCTCTTTTACCACAGTTAAGACTCAGTCTCTGTTCCAAAAGTTCCACCAACTTTTCTCCTTCCTTTCTCTGAAAGGAAAGAAAGCTGTATGAACCTTAACATATTCCCTAACCTCTCTGAGCCTCTGTTTCAATGTGCATAAAATAGATACACTACTTTGATGGAGTCGAGTAATAACCATGCCCCCCCAAGTATCAGTTGCTATTGATGATAGAACTTACTGTCTTAGGAGGCCCCTTTAAGTCATTTATTTTACCTGCCTAGCCCTTGAATGATTTGCTTTAGGACAGAGTCCCATTATGCAAAACCTAATGAATAAGTAATCCATTCACACAGTTTTGCATCCAAATAGACAAAATGAGCTACACTCAAAAGTCAAGCACCATACCTGGATCAACAGCTTCTCCATCAAATACAGTCTCATACACAATGATTTCCTTTTAAAAAGCACAAAAGGTTAGCAATAAAGTCAACTTGATGAAATTAGTTTTGACATATATTGAGAACTTTGAGCAGATGATTAAATTACCTCATCTCTCTAGCATATAGAAGGCTAGCAGCCTAGCATCCCCAGACTCCTTGCTCTTCTTGTCTTCTCCCAGCCCCAAATCCCACAATCTGCCCACCACACTCTCCCTGAACTCAGGTCTTTGTATTGATGTGAAGTCTCTTACTTGGATAGGAGGTGTTATGGGCCAAATTGGATTCTCCTAAATTTCGCATGTTTAAGCCCTAACCCCCAGTACACCAGAAGGTGGAGGCAGGACCTTAAAGAGGTGATTAAAGAAAAATGAGGTAACCTGGATGAGGCTTAATCCAAGATGATTGGTGTTGTTATAAGAATAGGAGATTAGGACACAGACAACACAGATTAGGAAGAATAAAATGAGGACACAGGAAGAAAGCACCATCTGCAAGCCAGGGAGAGAGACCTTGAAAGATACTAAACCTGCCAACACCTTCATCTTGGTCTTCTAACCTCCAGAACTGAGAGAAGATAAATGTCTGCTGTGGAAGCCACCCAGTGGGTGGTACTTTATCGTGGCAGCCCAAGTGAACTCATAGGAGATCAGCTATAGATTTCACCATCTGCTAAGAAACGCCAGGGTTGAAGAACATACACAGCTCTATGAAACAAATAACCTATTTTCAAATCTAGATCTTATCTTTAATAAATGGTGGATAAGGATAGATTTCCACTCGTCTAGAGTTGTTTTTGCTGAATATACATAAAATGTGTATAGCAAATTTTGACCAAAGCCAAATTCTAAGATTGGATCTGAAATCCTGGGTATTAAAAATACACAGAAATCCAGCAGAAGCAGATGAATTGAAAGGATTGTATCTCATTTTTATAAAGCCTGAGTAGATTGACCATATGTTAATATGGAAGAACTTTCCATGGAGCCATGATTACAGAGACAGTGTAGTGCTCTTTCTTCTTCTGGGCAGGGATCACAAAAATGTACTTACTGTTAATACTTCTAGTTTTTTATTTCTGTTTCCAGTAACAACCATTTCCTTTTGATTTCTGTCTCCTATTCAAAAAGTAAATAGATAAAGGGCAGTTATCAGACAAATGGCTTTTTTTAGAATCACACAATTCAGAATAATCTTGTGACAACTAGCAAGCCGGATCTTACCTGCCATATACTTTATTTCTCTGTAGAAAAAGAAAATTTGACAAAACATCAGCTTCATTATGCTAATATGTGGCAAAAAAAAGAAGAATTTCAACTTTGCACAGCACATGACTATTATCCAGTCTTCTCCCACTCCTATTTTTTTAAAAAATGCTCTATGGGGAATAATAAACGGATCTCATTAACCATCACTACCTTCGATACACACTCTGAATCATAAATTGTCTCTACTTATCTAATAAAAATTCATATCCAACTCTATTTTTGAAGCCATGGCATTCTGCACCCTGAAGAACTATTTTCAGATAATGGTGAAAGCAGCTGCATTTGTTATCCATTTCTTTGGCCTCTCTGCCCAGCTTCACATAGATTCAAAACAAGTATAGACAGGGTACCTGGCTTTATCACCTGCCTCTGGGCTAGCTCCCAATAGCTATCAACCATTGCCCATGTATCAGAACAATCTGGGGAGTTGTTGGGTTTGTCTGCTCACAAATTGCTTTGTTTAAAATCTATTCTCATGGAAAATCTATTTCAGATGCCCTGAGATAGAACCCAAGACTATATTGTTGGCACTTTTTACAGAAAGCTCTCCAGCTCTTTCTGAGTATAGGTTTGAGCAATGGTGAAAGGCACCATCGAGTTTTGTACCCCAAATACTTCCTCTGTGTCCTTCAAAATTGGCAAAATTAGGCAGAAACTTTTAGAGCAAGATTGCCAAACCCCAGATGATTCAACTCTTGACTACAGAAGCTTAGAAAGAAAAATCATCTACATGGGTTTGGTCACAGAGACTTCCTTGGCCATTTTCTGACTGCATCGTGTAGCATTTCCATATCTCCAAAGCTGGAAACATATCCAGGAAACTAACCCAGCAAAGAAAATAGCCATCAGACTTAAGACTAAAGGAATGTACCAGTCACTGGATTTGTATGTGTTGATAGCTGTGTACATAATGGTCAGAATTTTCTTTGCTGGGAAAAATTATTTCCGAGAAAATGGAGTATTAGTTTCAATTTTTAGAGAGCATCCGTTTACACATAATAGCATCAGTATAGAGTGATGGTCCTACAGACAGTAGGGTATTGACTAAGACACAAGGAATTTTTAAATAACCACAGGTGATAGTATGAAAGACACATGCCTGGGGATAGCACCAATTTAAGCATCTAAAGACTTTAACTCAATGCAATGACTGCTTTGCAAACTTGAATAAAACCATCCCTCCTCTTTGACCTCAGTTTTCTCATCCGTAAAGTCAAGGAGTTGAACTAGATGACACCTGAGGTTCTTTATGCCTCTGTTACCCTCTGGATGCAGAATAAACACTTTTGTGCAGCGTGAGAGAACGTGTTTTCTTGAAAATCAAATATCCTGGTGGAAAGATTTATCATCCATGTTTTTTTTAAAAATGCCTCTATTTCAAAGGCTAGAAGACAGTAAAATATACTAACCATAAAGTCTTCTGAACAGACATTATCCTTGGGTGACTCAGAAATCATTCTGGAGTTCTGCAGAGGCTTTCTATATCTATTTTTTGAAACAACAAACTACTGAAGGGTCTGCTCAACTTCATGGAATTAGATTGAAGATTAGATGAAACAAAGAATGTAAGCCCTGGGGCACAGTGCCTGGCACAGGATTGGTGTCCGTTACTGTAAAAGACATGGCCCTAGAGAATAATGTTTGAAAGTGCCCAGTTTGAGAGGTGTTTAACTGAGAGAATTCATTGACAAGTGGGTCTTTCTGGTAGGCAGGACTCTCGGATCATTTAGATGCAATCAGTTGCATCCTTATGCTTCCCCAGTAATGAAACAAATTCTCTCTCCCCTATACAGTGGATTCTCAGATATGCACATTCTAAAATGTGGCCTGGTGGCTGGATGGGGTGGTGCCCAGGTGAAAAGGCCTAAGGATAAAGGTACTGCTTGAGTAGCCTTTTAGCCTTTTTAGATGAAAGTTGAATTTGCAGTAGGACATTTCCCACGCACAAAGCCAAATTAAATTCCAGAACTCCTTACTTCAGAGCCGGTGGTTGGAGGAGGTGGCATATTGGCCCTTGTCACATAAATATCTGTAACAGCGGTGCCTGTCTTGGGCTTGGTGTCTTTGCCGTTATTTCAGGTTGTCGTCAATTATGTGCGCTACAAGATGGTACTGCCGCTGCAGTTTAGCTCCAGATTCAAAGTTAAAAGGATTCTTCACAATTAATTTCAGAGTATTTGAACCCTGAGTTGGGTCAAATCCAAAATGATTGCTCACATTTCCTTTAAAAGGAAGAAATCAAAAATTAAAAGTATTTTAAGGTACATTGAAAGGTTTTCTCAGGCTACCTTACACAGCTTTTTAAACATGATAAATGTAAGTAAATATAAATTTTATTATTTTCTGATTCCTTATACATATATAAGGCTTACAGTAAAATGGAAATCAAGTAAGCAGAAAATTCAGTTGGCTGGAAAAAAAATTTGTTCTAAAGGTTAAGATCCTGAGTGTGATCCCCATATGTGGTCAGCAAGCTTCACACTATTATCAAATTATTCTGCCTAAATGTGTTCCCTTCCTTCATCTCCTACTCAGAGGATTTTATTCCCACTTTCAGGGTAGTATGGATCAACATCAAATAGGCCAGTCAGACCACAAATATCCTGCTAAATTTTAAGTCACATTTCAGTGGCCCTGGAGACCCTGTTGTTAAGAAGATGCACACTAGCGAGACAAGCAGACACTGGACCAGCCTGTACAGTTATTTGGGAACGTGAACCCATGGCCATGGTCCCATTCTTTCAATTGCATGACAAAAGGTCTGACCCTGCTTTAAGTACTTCTTCTTTTTCCCTTTCATGATACCCAGTAGTTTTCCTTAATAAAACTTGCCATACTTTACGGTTTTATAACTGTTGATGTTACTGCTAGTTTAATGAACTGTGAATTCCATGAATACAAGGTCCACATCTGTCTTGTACAATACTGTGTACCCTCCTCCTGGCACATATATGATCTTCAATAAATTTCTTCCGTATGTCCCAAGATATGACTGAAGTTGACACGGATCTGTGAAAATCCAATAATAATACAGTAGAAAACATCTATCCTAGTATTAGCATCACAGGGGAAATGGCTGCTATTTTCAGCCAATACCATGAACAGAAGACCTAGTTACTTGTAACTTCATCTTGCTGATCCAAAGTTCCTTCATTATCAAGTATCACTGAAGTCATAGATTGTTCTACCATAGGAGGAATTAGACAGAACATATGGAAGTGAAAAAGATTCCTTGAGGACACACCTAGCAGCATAGATAGGAAATAGTTTAATCTTTGTAAACAGAGTTATTTCTAAGATTATGTTATTTATGTCAGAGAGGTTTTATCAATTCGACACATGCTTACTATTACAAGAAAGAATAAAATGATTCACCAGAAACCGTCTCAAAGCACATTTCAAAATCCTGTGAATCTCTGTCATGACAGTTTAGTTGGAAACCGTTGACGTTTGTCCCAGCAACAACATTGTCAAAAATGACTGCCTGGCATACAGAAGGTGTCCAGAGAGGAGCTTCATCACTCTTGTCTAAGATGTCAACCGTGACCTGTCAGCAGTGAGGGAGGAAGAAGCGTCACATCCACGTCATGTGACTATTTATACACAGAATCAGCAAGAAGCATCTGGCTAGAGACAGATCATTTAGAATTATTAAATAAAGAGTCTAGGATTTGGAATTTGAAGAAATGTTTCTGCAGATGTGGGTTCTGGCTGCCAATCAGCTAGTCAGTCACCTTATTATTCCTGGGTCAACTGTGACATTCAGTGTGTCCATTAGGGAGAGTTCTGGGCTTGTTGGAAGAACTCGTGGAAAGCTCATGAGTTACATAAATGGTAAGAAAAGGAGAGCTGGAGAATGATGCCTCTAAAAGTTGTAATCCCTTGAATCTTTTAACTATCTATGCTTAATGGCAAACATAGCCTAAAAGAAGGAGAAGCTTCCTCCTTCTCAACTTAGGGGCCTCCTCTGCACCATTCACTCAGGCACAATAAATTTTTTAGTAACAATATGATTACCTCAAAATATGCTCTGACCTTAATTAGGGGCCGTTATCAACCTTTTTCTTAATTAAGATACCATGAACTGGGAAACTGTGATTTACATGGGAAAAGATCAAAATATCAAGGATTTTAAAATGTCAGTGATCAAATGCCAGTCAGCCTAGAAAGGTTATCTGCCCACCTCTTAGATGAGTAATAACTTTCTCAGCAACACTCACAGAAGATTCTCTAGGGTTCTCCTATTTGCACGCACTACCTTTTAAAAATGTTTTATGAAATGTTTTAACGGCACAGCTAAATTCCTGGGGAACAATTCATTTTTAATGCTACTTCTATAGGTTGAATAAAGCTGTGTGTTCTATTTAATATGATTTGAGGAAGATTGCTGTGTTATAATGCAAACAGCACAGAACTTGGAATCAGAACTCTTTATAAAAACCTTGGGCCTTCCGATTGGCAGATCTTTTGTTTGATACAAGGGACTAAATGTCATTTTGCTCATCTGCAAAAGGGAGAGCTCCATTCCTCCACTCCTAGGATTGTTGGGAGGATAAATTCATCCATCCAGTGGGTATTTATTTAACACTGTGTGCTAAGCGCTGGTCTAAACACAGAAGATAAAAAGTCCCTCTCTATCGCAGTCGATATTCTAAAGGAGGAGGTAAAGCAATAAACAAGTCAACACAACTGTGTAGTAGGCACTGTCATATGGAAATTGGTGCTCTGCAGTTAAGGAGATAAGAGAATAAGCCCAGTCCACTGCTTTATTACAACATTTTCATTAGTGTCCTGTTTATTTGAGATTTTCCTGAGAAATTCCTTTCGGCACCCATCACAGTAGTTTTATTTATACTCTTTATATCTTTCCAAAATGTTTCAAACTTGTCTGACATGCATTGATGTACATGATTCCCTAAGACAACAGAGTACCAACCCAGGTTGTATCACTGCAAACCAAAATGGTGTTGATTTTATATCTATAACAATTTCCTTCACTTGTATATGTCTATTCAGTGCTTATAGCATCTGCGAAAAAAGAAAATGTTTCAGTTTTAGAGAAAAGTATACTCCTAAGCATGAAACTGATTTATTTAATTGACTTCTTATTAAAAAAAAAGGAGATAGCGAATAGTTGATGGAACTATTTTAATAGAAGAAAGTCATGAAAGAAAGGCTTTCTGTGAACCCTCTGTTTTCTTCCTCCTCCCCTATTTTGGATACATGTCCTTAAGCAAGAATGTATTCTTGCAGCATGTTAGTGTTTGGTTACATGACTTTGATTGTGCTATAGATCTTTCCTGTTTCCCACTTTTCTCACTCAATGCCATATTTTCTTGCTTTTTCCATGTTGCTGCTTGTAGAATTAATTTACTATTTCTTTCTTTAGGGGGAGGGCGATCTGGTCTTTTTTTTTAATTTTTATTTACTTATTTATTTATTATTGGTTGCACCAGGTCTTTGCTGCTGCACACCAGCTTTTCCCTGGTTGTGGCGATCAGGGGCCACTCTTCATTGCAGTGCATGGGCTTCTCGCTGCGGTGGCTTCTCCTGTGGCAGAGCACAGGCTTTAGGCACAAGGGCTTCAGTACTGGCTTAGCTGCTCTAAGGCATGTGGACCAGAGATTGAACCCCTGAGCCCTGCATTGTGAGCAAGCTACTTTGGAGCAAAAATAGGATTAAGGTAAGAATGTGAGTCATGTAGTTGGAAGACAGGCATTCCAGCCTGAGGCAAAGTCTCTGAGGTATAAACATTTCGGGTGTGTTGAAGACACTGCAAGAAATTCACATGAGTGGATTGAAGTAAGAGGGAAAGACCTAGAGGAGCTGAACACAAAGACCTGGGGTCCAGATCCCACAGGGCACAGCAGACCTCGGAAGCAAACTTGGAGCTTTTGCCAAGTGTGATGGGAAACCATTGGAGAGTTTTGAGGAAGAGCGTAAACCGCCTTTTGGAAGAATCATTCTGGCTCCTCTGTGAAGAGTAGATTGTAAAGAGCACAAGTGGAAGTGGAGAGTCCAGTTATGAGGCTGCTGCCGTAGACCAGGAAAGGGACAATGGTGGCACAACCAGACAGCATTCAGGATATGTTTTGAAAGAAGAGACAACAGGATTTGCTGATGGATCAGAGAGATAATTTAAGGTACACAGTAGTGGTTAAGTGCCCAGAATTAATCCTTCTACCTCTTTCTAGCTGAATAAATTTGGATAAGTTACTTAACCTCTAAACCTGATAAATGAAATTCTTCTGCCCATAAAAAGTAGTATCAGTAGCTACCTCATGGTTGGGATTGAGGCTAAACAAGATCTCATAGTCTTGCCTTTTATTGTGCTTGCATGCTCAGTTGTGTCCGACTCTTTGTGATCCCATGGACTGTAGCCTGCCAGGTTCCTTTTGCCTTTGGAATTTTCTAGGCAAGTATACTGGAGCAGATTGCTATTTCCTCCTGCAAGGGATCTTCCTGACCCAGGTATCCAACCCACAACTTTTACATCTCCTGCATTAGCAGGCAGATTCTTTACCACTGCATCTCCTAGGTAGGTTCTCAATAAAGGGTGGGTGATGATGATGGTGACAACGATGATGACAGATTCCTATAATTTGGGATCTAAAGAACCATCTTCCTTTTCAGAACTCAAAAGTCACATTTATCTATGTCATCAATATACCTGCTATATACTATTTAACCTCACCCATGTTAAAAATTTAAGCTACCCGAAGCCATATATTGTCGCACATGTCTTTGCAACCCAGGAAGTTGTGCACAGAGAAAACATCCAATAGATATTAGTTAAAAGAGGAAATGAAGAAGTTCCTGCTTTAGTTAAATTAGAAACCCTGTTTGTAAGATCAGAGTCACTTGAAGTTGTTTTCTTAATTATCTGCTTTCACCTCTTGGCATTTGTAGTAGGTAGATGATAGTTGCAAGTGAATGGCATCCTATACAATTTGAGGAGCTCATAAATTTCTACAGGAAAAACTACCACAGGTACCTAGGTCTAAAGATCACTCTCATAGGTACCTACCTGAGACAATCAAACCACTTAATCATGCCCACATGACTGGAATTCAGTCCCTGTGAAAGTCATTCTGACTGTTGATGTCCGTGGACCTGGTGTTTTCCTCACAGTGACACACTCAGGAAGTCTAATTACTGCCCAAGCAGCAAGCCAGGGGGCTCTGTACAGGAAGAGGAAGTAGACCCTGAATCATCAGGCCAAATGAGGACCTAAAAATTCTTCAGTCCTACCTACCTCTCTTCTCTGATGACAAAACCTCAGTCATTAAAAACACATTCCGCATCATCAATACAGCAGTATCCACTCTGAAGGTCTTTCAAGAGTCCTTTGATGTTGTGACAATAATTTAGAGCTCCACACTTCCTCCTGTTATGATGTGGAAAAAACACATTATGGGTAATTACCTATGTTGTCAACATCATCTCTTAATGAGAGGCGGCGTGAGTGTAAGTCCAGTTCTAGAAGCCCTGCGTCACTTCACATATGTAAAACTTTGTGCCCGAGTTTCCTCATCTATAGAGTAGAAACGATGATAGTATTGTCTACTTTGAAGACTAAAGGTGAATATTAACTACATCAAGATATGAAATTACCCACAACAGGATCTGGCACAAGTGTTAGAGACATTCTGGCTATTATTATAATTCTTTAATCTCATGAGTATTATTGTTATTATTTGACAGTTTCAATTGTGATAAGTTAAAAGCTAACACATCCATCTCTATTACATCAAAACATGGGACTGTCTATGGACTGCCATTGATTCTTTACTTCCACTTCAGGGGCCCAGATTTGATCCCTGGTCAGGGAACTAAGATATCACATGCTTTGTATATGGCACAGCTAAAAATAAATTTTTTTAACTGTTGAAAAGAAAAGAGAAAAACCTGGGGCTTTCTTCTTACCAGGGCTGTCGCTGTGCAAGGATGATATTTGTCACAGTCCACACCTTCCATGGTGAGGTATCAGTGAGGTTATATTGCTTCACAATCTTGTAGCCTGGCTGTGTGGTGAGCTCAATCCTTCCAGAGAGTGGGTAAATCCAGACTCTTTGTATAACCTGGACGTCAGCACTGGTATCTTTTACGTCACACAGTTTGGTGGGTGGCATCAATGGCGGTCACTCTTACAACTTTGTAGAAAGCTGCCATTAATATGTATATTAAGATTCATTCTTGTCATACAGCTGCACCATTTTAAAAAGCTTAATGTCTTTGTCTTCCAGATAGTATCATAGATTTCTCAAGGGGTCCACCTGAATCTTTTTGGACAATGCAATGTGCTTGAAAAGCAGAACTCTACATGTCAGAAAGTGGATTTATAGATGGTCCACTTAAGCCACATGGCATGAGTCAAATGATATCAGTTAACAATAACTTTATAAAGATAATAGTTTGAAACATTGTGTTTATTTTCTAACAGGCATTATGCTAAGATTAGCATCAGATAATTGTTCCCAGTACAGACTCTGAAACCAGACTGCCTAGGTTCCGAATCTCAGCTCTGACTCTCACCAGCTATAACTCGTTAGAAAGTTCTGGAACCCCGTGGGCCTCACATTCTTTATCTGCAAACTAGCAATAATAATAATAATATCTACCACATGGAATTGTTGTGAGGATTAAATAAGTTAAAATACATAAGACACATAGAAAAGAGTCTGACATATAGTAAATGTTACATAAGAATTAGGTATTATTTATACACATTATCTCATTACATCTCAACAGCCTTATGATGTATGTACTGTCACTGTCCAAACGTTATAGATAAGAAAACCACAGCCCAACTGTACTAACTTGCCCAAGGTGACAGAGCTATTAAAGATAGAGCCAGGATTCAAATCTGTACTTGCCAAATCTATACATTTAAAAAATCACTCATTATAAGTCCAGTGTGTAGTTCTCCCAAATAATCTTTTAGAAGAAAAATGGGTGTGATAGGTGGATTGCATTAATATGTTCAAATTATTTACTATTCTCAAGTTCATGCTGTTCTACTGAATAACCTTATAGTGCCCTCCCACGTGGCTTATTTCGGCTGATGGGACAGAAGCAAACCGGCCACCACCAAGTTTGAAAACCACTTTTTACCCAGGCTTGCCTTACTCCTGCATCTCTTCCTCTGCCCTGAGAAGTGCTCAGATTAGCCTGTCCGAGGAGGAGAGAGGAGCCAGATCAGCCAGTCACTCCTACTGAACCAAAATAGATCAGCAAAAAGCCAACAAATTCCCTCAATTTTGAGCAAGCTCAGCCACAACCATAGGGACAGCCCAGTCAATCCTCAGACTCGTGGGCTAAATAAATGTTCCGTTCAGTTCAGATCAGTTGCTCAGTTGTGTCCAACTCTTTGCAACCCCATACACTGCAGCATGCCAGGCCTCCCTCCCATCACTAACTCCCAGAGTTTACTCAAACTCATGTCCACTGAGTCTGTGATGCCATCCAACCATCTCACCCTCTGTCGTCCCCTTCTCCTCCCGCCTTCAATCTTTCCCAGCATCAGGGTCTTTTCCAATGAGTCAGTTCTTCGCATCAAGTGGCCAAAGTATTGGAGTTTCAGCGTCAGCATCAGTTCTGCCAGTGAACATACAGGAATGATTCCCTTTAGGTATGACTGGCTAGATCTCCTTGTAGTCCAAGGGACTCTCAAGAGTCTCCTCCAACACCACAGTTTAAAAGCATCAGTTCTTCGGCACTCAGCTTTGGATTGGTCCAACTCTCACATCCATACATGACTACTGGAAAAACCATAGCCTTGACTAGACAGACCTTTGTCAGCAAAGTAATGTCTCTGCTTTTTAATATGCTGTCTAGGTTGGTCATAGCTTTTTTCCAAGGAGCAAGTGTCTTTTAATTTCATGGCTGCAGTCACCATCTGCAGTGATTTTGGAGCC